CGGCGGGAACCTCCTCGCCCGAGAAAAAGCCATGCCGCAAAAAAAAAACACACACAGACAGTGTCAAGTGGTGACAGCTAAACTGATCACGAAGCTCTACCCACCTTCTTGAGCCCTTAAGCATGCCATCAATACTTCATGTCACCCTCAGGCACTCTTCAGACACGAAGATATTTGAATAACTTTGCAAGTACGAACGGTTTCACTGCCCTACAAAAATCAAGATTGAAACTCAAGCGAAGCCTGGAAAGATAGCTTTCGTGACATTTGAATGCGTGAGTAGCACTAATAGCCGTGAAGCAATGCATCATGAAGCCACTTTCCAGGCCCTTCTCCTGAGGCGTGCTGCTGAAGAGCCTAGGATTGCAATGGCTTGCTGCCGCAGGCAAGAACATGCAAGCTTTCAAAGTTTGCACAGACCTCTCCGCGAAGAGGTGTCAGAGTAGTTATCTGGGATGAAGGGCAGGAGTCCGCCCCCAGGACTAAAAACACTTTACTTTACCGCATACGGTGTCGGATTGAACCATTCACGCATCATCAAGTACACCAGCGTGGAGCACGGCGGAGTTGGGTAAATTCAAGTTCTGCAAGATGCCCATACTGTCATTCGTCGAATTGCCAAGGACAGCACTTGGTTGGCAAGCATGGGTGCTCACATAGGGCATGGGGACTCGGGTCGGTTTGGAGCAGAACTGGACTTTGATTTTTGCATATAGGGTTTAGGGTTTGGGGTTTAGGATCCCGGAATCTGTCACTCAAGACCGCACTGAGCTTCGCTACTCACTGCCCTGGGCCCCAGTTTACCAAAAAACCCGCGAGCTCGGGAACCAGCTGACAATCAAAACACCTAAACCCTAAACCCCTAAACCCCTAAACCCTTAAACCCTAAACCCTAAAACCCTAAACCCTAAACCCCTAAACCCTACCCCTGGTCCGCAGCCTGGCCGCCGTGGGTTGTTGTAGGAGACTACCAGAGCCATGGGCGCCAGGATCTGGCCCAGTGCCGACCAGATGAGGATGAGCAGAGTCGAAGGGTCTCCCCACTCCTCCATCACGGGCCTCGGAGACTCAGGGGCTTCTTGGTGCGCCCGGTGCTATAGTTAGGGTTTAGGGTTTAGGGTTTAGGGATTCTATAGGGCTTTGAGCTGTACAGCTGCCAGAGCTCCTAGCTGGCGGATGCTACACCAACACCTTCGGACCTAGTTATGGCCGATCTTATGGATACTGCGCCAAACCCTCGCGAAGAGCCGGTGACAGAATTGGATCCAGGCCACACCTCTGCACAGGCGCCATACGACGGCGCTGTCTCTTTGTTGATGCTTTCCTTCGCAGCTACAGCCTCCCTTTCAGCAGCCGCCATTTTTCGGTCAAAGACCTGCAAGACGGGCGCATTGAATCACGTAAATCACGCAAAACGATGGACATGGCTCTTCGGAATTCGAAACGAAGGCTAGTGCACCTGAAAGGGCCCCAACATAGACAAATTATCCCAGCAGCGTCACACACCACTCCGAAAGCTTTTCTAGCCAAGCAGCCGTGCTTCTCAAGGAAAACGTAGATCGTACCCCACAGATCCGCGGGGGTGGGCATGATGGGCTTAGAAACTCGAGCAGACAACAGCCCACGGCCGATGTCTAAAGAAAGGTTCTACGTAAGACTTCAGGGCGAACTTTGTGGTTTTTCGCTCGTGGCCTAGACAGAGCAAGGTAACACTGTAAGGTCGCTGCCGACGACGATGCTGAGAGGAATACTCATACTGACGCCACCACTGCCACAGGAGATCTCAAGCATGGCAGCAATGCTGACCATGATCGGAACATATGAATAACAAACTTACACCCCCTACATCACAAAACCCAAGTTTCCGGATTGCATGGCCCGTTTCACCATCGGAACCAACGGGGCTCTAATGGGATGTTGGCGTCCTTGCAACCAAGCCCAGAGATGCTCAGCGACGGTTTAAGCCCTGAAGCTGTACGTTGCAAGTCGTACGGACCATGCCAGGAGGTTGGTTTCAAGTCATGGAAGATACGGCAGACAAGTAGACAAGCTCTTTCGACAATACTATGCGGGCTATGCCTCTAATCCTTAGCCCTGCCCTCGAAGTGCCCTGCCAGGTGCCCCCGCCGCTTTGGGGTGCACAGCTGCGGAGCCACAGGGACCTCGGCAAAGGCGCAAAGTCAAGGAGTTGCAGGCTCAAAGCCTTCACAGCAATAGAACTAATCATGGAGAAATTGGGTTGATTCAAATAATCAAAGGGGTTGAGGGGACTCAGGGATTAAAGGCGATTCAGGGAATTGAGTGGATTCAGGTGATAAAGCTCGGTGGCTTGGAGAGCAGGAACTCCAGTGTGCAGCAAGTGGAAGTGCATGCTGGCCATCACCACCATCATCATTCATCAACCATCATCACCAACAAGGCCATCATTCATCATCATTCATCATCAACGTCTTCCTCCTCCTCTTCTTCATAATCCTCATCATCCTCATCATCCTCCTCATCCTCATCATCATCACCTTCACCAGCTTCTCCGTCACCATCATCCCCATCACTATGTGTGTATATACATATATATATATATATGTATAAATACACATACATGCAGACATTCATACATACATACATACATGCATGCATACATACATACATACATACGTTGTCATGTCATTCGGCAGGCTTAGGGATCGTTGGTCTCGCCTCACTCAACAAAAAAACGACTTCATGTGAAACTAGTCCCTGGGACTGCTGAGGCTGAAAGGCTAATGCCGACTGAGGTGAGACAGGATGCATACATACATACATACATGCACACTACATGCACAGTTGTATATGCATATATCTGTACATGTAAGTATATATATACACATATGTATATATTAGTTAATACGATACTCTCTTGCATATGAGAGTGAATATGTGCATGTTTTTATCATTTGCTTTTTTGCATACTATTCTGCGTGCATACACGTGCAGACACGCACACAGACATATATATATATATATATATACCTATGAATATATATATATATATACATGTATGTATGTCATACACACGCATATTTACATATGGAAGCACATACATACATATATATATATATATATATATATATGTGTGTGTGTGTCTGTATGTGTATATATAGATATGTATATATATATATATTATATGTATATACATGTGTGTATACACACACATAGATAGACAGATGGTTAGATAGACAGATGTCCTACAAGTTAAAAACTATATGTAAATATATACTACAAAACATATATGGTATATTGTATATTTCACATTACGTATGAATGAGTGTGTGCGTGTGTGCATGTGCGACAGTCATTGCAGTCTGTGCATGTGTAAGTGCATGTGAGCCTGTATCTGTACATGTATTTGTCTCTGCATGTGCCTGCATCTGCGTTTACTCTGCGATGTGTATGCATCTATGTAAATATACAGACACACACACACATATATATATATATACATATGTATATATGGATATATACAGGTATGTATGTGTGTACATATGTATATACGTCTGTGTGTGCACGTGCATATATGTGTATGTGTATGTGGATGTCTATGTCTACGTGCAAACCCACAAGTCACAGATGCTATCTATAGTTGTATGCCGGGCTAAACCCTAAACACTTAACCCTAACCCCTAAATACTCTCTACCATAGGGGCCTAAATAAGTACCAATACTGTTTTGGGGGCTCCTTATTAGAATCCGACTCTAATCATTGAGGCCCCCATTTTAGATTCGTCAGCGGCCAAGTCAAAGACACTGGGCTGCCGGGCTGTCAGGGCGGGTGCCCAAAGCTGAGAAGACCTGGGAGGGACAGGGGAAAGGCTTCATTAGGGTTTAGGGTTTAGGGTTTAGGGTTTTAGGGTTTAGGGTTTAGAGTTTTAGGGTTTAGGGTTTAGGGGGGCTGCGGGACTTTGGGTATGTCTGAAACTATGTAAGGGTATCAGACAAGGGGTCTTCATGATGAGGATCCTATTGCACAGCGTCTCTACGTCGGGGCTTTAGGGAACCTTTATGGATCAAGGTTCTAGGGCTGCATATATTTCTTGCGATCAAAGCTCAAAGGGTCGTGCTGAGAGGAGTTGTGCATATGCAAGGGCCCTGGGTTACGTATAGATGTGGCCTCGAGGCCAAGACCAGAAGTATGTTCATGCCCTTAAAGGGGGGGATACCAATCAGGGGTCTACCCTCAAGAAGACCAAACCAAACCCTCTACTTCCGCCCAAATCCTGAACTAAGGGCCCAGGCCCGTTCGGACGCAGAGACTTCGGCCAGGGTTTGGCCTGGAGGAAATCGGCACATTTCAATAGCTGTCAAAAGTTTTAGGTTAGGGTTTAGGCTTAGGTTGGCATTGTTGCGGTTAGCAAACAAAAAAACTGCAGCCTAGACACTGCCATCGGAAGTTGCATGCTGAGGTCATAAGAACCTTCACCGTCGACTGCCTCGGAAGCTCTATATGCAGCTCCCCGAGGCAGCCCGAAGGGAGGTCACCTCCTAAGCTTAAACCCCAAAGCCCGAATCCTCAAGCCCGAGAGCCTAATCCAATCAAACCTCACACCCAAAAACCCCAAGCCCTGAAAACCTTCAAATCCTCAAACCTTAAAGCCCTCAACAGGGGCTCGCGGTAAGTCTGGCCTTGTCAGCAGAACCCGTCGTTGCGGCCGTGCCTACACAAGGAGAGTCCTACAGATGCGATGAGATCTTAGGTATTCTAAGCACATGTTGGGGTTCTGTAAGTGTAGCGTTGTTTGTGGGAGCGTAGGGCTGGAGTGGGAGAGAAGTCTGCAGGATCAGAGGCAGAAGTGGAAGATGATGTGGCTCCGGAGCATTCTGACAGTGTCGCAACGGGTCTCCGTTTGTAGAGCCTTGGCGATGAAGTGACAGGCTACACCATGGCCAGAAACCCCAAGAAAGCAGAACGTTCGGTTCTTAGGCACCCCTGGACAGTGCAGCAAGGTTCTCATAGGTACACATGTACACGTATCGAGAACTGAATACACATACAACTTTACAACCAGTAGCTGGTTTTAGTTGCATTGTGCAGAGAGGGAGGGAGGGTCAGAGCGATATCCACACGCTCTGTTAAAGTGAAGGAGCTGAACTCAGAATCACGGTCCCCATTTTTTGTCGGCATCCACTCGCAGGCTGACAGAGAAGGCGCTGACCTGAATGCAGCGTCGGAAGGGCATGGTTTGTGATTAGCTGTGGGGATTAGCAAGGTGTCGGGTTTTGGGATGCAAACTTCAGTTAGTGGTAATGGCCCCGAGTCCCTTCTCTCCAGAAAGGGGCCTCAGGTACGAAAGACCGTTCCCACGGATGCTCTGCGATACAAAAAGAGATGCTCTGCGATGGAAAACAACCACTAATCTGATTTGTCCAGCTACCCCCGCCCCTGCCACCAACAGTACACCCACTGTGGACGAAACATACAGCAGCAGCAACAACTCAACAGCAAGCAGGATAGAAAGTGGGACAGGTAGTAGCAAGACGGCAATCTCTGATGAAGGCACCGATGATGAAGAGTTCTCCTTCATGGCGGCACGTACAGCAATGGCCCTAAACCCTCAATCCTCCATCTATCTTAGCTTGAGAAAATGAGGGCAACTCGCTCATATGCCGGCCTGTCAAAGACGAGAACTTCCCGGGCCGAAAGCCTCACAGGGCACAGTGCGGTAACAGCCGTGGTCTGAGATCCGGAATATACTCCAGTGTACTACAATATACTATACTGTATTCTACTGTATATGCTACACTATACTACACTATACGACACAATACTACAATACAATACTATGCTATACTATACTATACTATACTATACTACACTATACTGTACTATGCTATACTATACGATACGATACCATACCATACTATTTTATACTATGTGATACTTTTACGCTACTATTACTATACTCTACTCTGGCATAATATAGTAGAGTATGGCTTACAGTATAGCATAGTAAACTTTACCATACTATACTGCACTAAGTCACACTCTACTCTATTATGCTATACTATACAAGTATGATTCGGGAACCCGACCCTCGACCTCGGTTGGGGTCTTGGTGATAGACAGCAGCAGCAGACCCACGGCAGCTGCTGTTGTTGCCGCTGTGATCTATACTGGAAGACACCCAGACTTAAAAGCGACTAGCACAACAGGGAGCTGCAGTGATGAGGAGAAGGATTCGCAACCAGAGCTGTCGTGGTCCTTGCAGCTGTTGAAGCAGACGGATCAGACAAGACAGGACGAAAGAGGGTGAGCGAGTGAAAGCGCGCAGCCTTGGTCATGATGTCGCAGCCCAGCGAGCACATCGCATTGAAAGCGCTGATCTG